CTTGATTTATATTTCTTATTTATGCTAGAATACAGTATTTGTTTTTTCTAACCGGGAAGAATAAACAGGTTTAGAGCAAAGTCGATAAAGTAAACTTTTATCAGATACATAATATACAGATAAAAATATACAAAAATCGGAATAATGATATTTTTAATTTCCACAATATTTTAGCTCTGTTCCTATCTGCCACAAACCAGATCACACTGTACATTAATTTTTAATACTTTTTGAGCATGGCAACGAGATTGTATCACGAAACTAATTCGTATTTTAGTTACGTTTTAAGCTTCTAGAACATCTTCGCTGGAGGCAATCTCGTTATCCGGAGAATACATTTCTAATTTAAAAAATAATACTGACTTTAATACAGGATAATATAATATTTAGAATATTTTAGTACAGTAACAGCACAATATTACTATACAGTGACGTACAGCAATAATAATACAACAAATAATAATATAGCCAATGCTCTAGTACCAAGTATAATATTATACTATAGTGCAGCTACTCGTTGCTATATTATTTCCAGAATATCACCATTACTATAGTATATCCACCATACTCTATATAAAATATACGTCGTAACAAATATAACAAAATTCAAACACCCATAATTCATAATAACCTCATAATCCCAAATTTAGAATATTTAAGTACAGTAACAGTACAATATTACTGTACAGTAACGTACATTAATAATAAATATAGTAATAATATAGCCATGGCTCTAGAATCAAGTATAATATTATATCATAGTGCAGCTACTCGTTGCTATATTATTCCCAGAATATCACCACTACTATAGCATATCCACCACACTCTATGTAAAATATACATCATAACAAATATAACAAAATTCAAACACCCATAATCCATAATAACCTTACAATCCCAAATTGAATACTCCACCCAACCCATCATCCCAAATTCTAAAACAATTAATTTCCCATTTCCATGCAGCAATTTCGCCGAACCTATACTCCGTTCAACGAGAATTGGCATGAAGTATAAACAAAATCGTAACATAATCGATGCTGTGGACGTAGGTAAATGGGTGCTGAATATGGATGCTCAGGGTCGACTTTTGGAAGTCCTAAACGGGGGTCCCTTCGTATAAAATTAGCCAAAATTTTGCTAGAAATATTCGATATTTGGCCTGGATCAACTCCAGACCAGGTCCGATGTTTCCACCCTGGTCTGATCACGAATTGTTCACGTGCAGCTGTTTATATTTCCTATCAGTTCTCGTTGAACTTAGGAAATGCAGTGATATCTACACTGCAGCTAATTTCGTTGCAGGTGGAGCCATGTTGCTGGAGCACCTACAGCATCCACAGGGACACCCAGGCAACGCTGGCAATCCTCGATAAGTTAGACGTGGAGGGTGAAAAACTGAGCGACGAGGAGATCGCGCGACTTTTCGGGTTCGAGGATGAATACAACAGAGGGACCTTGACAAGATGGCAGAAAGTACGGCCAAGGATCTGGGCTCTGTTCGATGAGCCGTACTCGTCGACCGCCGCCAAGTGCATAGCCTGTATTTCAATACTTTTCATCTGCCTCTCGGTCCTCTGCTTCTGCCTCAAGAGTCACACGATGACGAAACAGTCGAGAAACAATCAACTTCAAGGGGAACCGGTGCGTTCGGAATCGGGACGGAACAGGGATGACGTCGACTCTTACCCGGTCTTCTTTTACCTCGAACATGCGTGCAATGCCTGGTTCACTTTGGAAATTACACTGCGCTGCTTGGTACGTACCAAACTCCCTCTATTGTTGCCTCGCCGCGACGCTCGGATATTTATGGTTCGACAGTTCGGAACGACGTGTCTAAAGGCTGTCGTCCACTTAGCTGCACGGCACACGAACGACACTGCGACGGCATCGACTATTCCCTTTATTCGTACATGAAAGTGATCGGACGTTTACACGTGCTGGTTTTAAAAAATCATGTGTATGCGTTTTGCTGGAGTATTTGAAACGGTAATGAAGCATATAGCAAGAAGGAAAATTGGGAAATATTTCAACGATAAGTATAGCATTTATGGTATATTTATTATAAACATGTAGTGTCGGTGAATCATAAAAATAAGTCGTAAGTAACTTATAATATTAATGTATAGTATTACTAACGTATAGTATTACTAATTAAGAAACAGGAAGTTTCAGTATGTCGTTGATTAATTTCTTATCGCTTAAGACAATTTTCCATTTAACTCACTAGCGCCACCACGACCCATATCTCCAATATATAGGATATAAATATGTCGTAGATTGTGGAACTATTTCCTAACTTTGTTGCTATAGTTATTAACTGGAAAATACGCATAGTATTTATGGTATATTTATTATAAACATGCAGTATCTGTGAATCATAAAAATAAGTCATTAATAACGTATAATATTAATGAAAAGTATTACTAATTAAGAAACAGGAATTTTTAGTATGACATTGATTCATTTCCCGTTGTTTATGGCAGCTTTAAGACGATTATTTATTTAACTCACTAGCGCCACCACGATCCATATCTCCAATAAACATAATATAAATATTGCGTATATCGTGGAACTATTTTCTAACTTTACTGGTATAGTTATTAACTAAACGATACGTGTAGTATTTATGACATATTTATTATAAACATGTGGTGTCTGTAAATCATAAAAATAAGTTGTAATTATAATATTAATGAAAAGTATTACTAATTAAAAACAGGAAGTTTCAGTATGACATTGATTCATTTCTAGTCGCTTAAGACGATTTTCAATTTAACTCACTAGCGCCACCACGGTCCATATCTTCAATAAATCTAATATAAATATTGCCTATATCGTGGAACTGTTTTCTAACATTGTTGGTATGGTTATTAATTAAACCTATGAATCCAGCTAACATAATCGGAGACCATGCAAAAAGCATACTTCAAAATAACTAATTTCTCCTGAAATATCTCGCAAATAATTGTAATAAATAATACTTTCTCGTACAAATTAATTAATCAGCACCTGTTATACGTTCTCAAAATTAATTGACTGTCCACGAAATTAATTAACTATCCCACACACCTGTACAATGCAAGATTCGACAATACAACAACGTACATGAATTAGAGAAAATTAAATCAAGAACATTCTTTTTCTCCCCAATTTTACGCACCTTCAACGCTACTCGACTTTTAAAGATGCAAGAGTGGAAAGAGCTAAATAAATCGCTATAGCTTAATGCGATTGTTATGGAAGCTTTTATTACTGTATTTCGTACTATTAAGAACAAGTGAATAATGAAGCAACCTTGCACTGTAATTACGTCCTTTTCAAGTGCACGTGAGTGACAGGGGCAAAAGTGGTTCGCCACCGGGACACAATGGTATAACATTAGAACAAAGCACGTTTTTGCACGCTGACGGCATGCAGTAAACAAATTCATTTCGGTCCAAGTTAGTTCAGGTTAGGTTGTTAACAGAGATAAATTAGCGTAGCAAGAGGTTCGCTTGTTTCTTGATAAAACAGTTTAAATGTGGGTCGACCCGAATGACGAGGTAGCAATGGCAGAAGATATCGTGTCACTATGACGTAGAGTATCGAATTATGTTCGAAGATGTTTGTATCGGACTTGAAACAAGTTTGGTCCGCATGCGTAATGCTTATTCATTTAGAAGTAATATTCCAGGTTACAGGAATTTGACGAAAGAATGTTTTATGAAATATATCTCGATTGAGACAGAGACGAATATGTAACGAATTTGTTAAGATTATGTAGGTTATGTAAGAATCTAGTTATTTTCGAAGAGGTTTAAACTATAGTTGGCATAAGTTTTACGAACATTTGATTGGAAAAACTAATTTGTAGTCGTGGGGAAGTAGTATGTGAAGATTTTATAAAAGAATATTTTAAAAAATATAGCTTGATTGACACAGAGACAAATATATAACGAATTTGTTGAGATTATGTAGGTTATGTAAGTATCTAGTTATTTTCGAAGAGCTTTAAACTGCAGTTGGCATAAGTTTTACGAATATTTGATTGGAAAAACTAATTTATATTCGTGGAGTAGTATGTGAAGATTTTATAAAAGAATATTTGAAAAAATATATCTCGATTGACACAGAGATGAATATGTAATGAATTTGTGAGGTTATGTACGGTATTATTCATTATTACTATATGACAGTCAAGTTACTATTAATTGGTAACTTAATTTCTTAATTATTGATACTAAATGTGATACTTAATTATTTCCAATATTAAAACGTTATTTAACTTCATACAAAATTGTTAATTTTTTCTTAAACATAGTGATTGCATAATTTTACTTCATGATACTAACCGTAATTTTTTTCGAGTAAATTTAATATAACTTCGGTTCTTCAGTATGCACAGTATATAAAAATATCATATTTAAGATAACCTAAACAGGACATGAAAAATTAATTATTAATTCTCTCATTGAAAATTAATCATCTACAGAAGATCACAAAATTCTTCCTCGATTTAACAACCTAACCTCATCACTATACATCATAACCTAGCCGTATCGAACGTCAAATAATTTCTACGTCCATTGAATTAAAAAACGATCCGTTTCCATCAGGAATCCAAGTGAAATATCACGTTTGCTTTAAACTGTCACATCATAATTCCATCTAGCTCTTGATTAGTCTCTGTGTAATGGCTTCCAGCTGGCCACAGCCAGTCGCTTTTAAAACCAAGCGAAACAACGGGACGAGGTGACGTTGCACGCGACTTCCGAAAGATCACTTCTGTAATTTACATTTCGCGTGATGTTTTGGTGGCCGTAGCGATTTCGTGTATTGATTTTTCCACGTGGAAGGACGAGAACGTGCGAGAAATTCCAACGACGTAGACAAAGCGCGAAAGATTTTTCGCCGTCGCGAGAGATCCTGCATAAATCATACGCCGTCTGGTGATCAATCGCGCAATTATTGAATTCGCATTTGCAGCGTTAGGCGGAGCCTCCAGGGATGCTCGCTAGAGGCGCTGAGGCTAGGCAACTTTCGAATGCAGGAGCTCCCATCTTTTCTTGTTAGGTTCATGTTAATAGGACGTTTGGACGTTTGGATTATCGTTTCTCTTTATTATTATGGCGGTTGTGGTATTTATGTGGAGTATTATCGTGTAGTAACGTAGAAAGTTTGACGCAGAATTCTTGGTGCTAGTTGCTCGAGATGTGAAAGGAGAGTGTTTGGACCGAGTACTTGTGATAATCGCCTGAAGGGGGCGCAGAGTGAGTCGTAGTTTTGAGTACTTGAGTATGTTTTATGGCCTTATGAATGGATATATAGAGCGAGAATGATAGGAACGTAGATAATTAATCGATAACGTTAGAATGCATGGTTTGGAACAAGAATTACATGAAAATTAATAGGAAATTGAGGATTATAAGGTGGTTATGAGGAGTTGAGTGTTCAAGAGTTGTCGTAGAGTTATTACAGACTGTCGTATAATACTTATTACACTTGAATGGTATTCGAGGACAGGGAATGCCTATTTTGGTGATTTTATAGTACACACTAGATTTCATTGCAACATAGTAACTGAGACTATAGAATAATTAATCCTTCCTTTCTTTTGTGTTAAATAATATTACAAGCTTCAGATTCTGATATCTATTCTCTATTCTCCTTCCTCTTTCTGTTCTCTTCCTGTTCTCTCTCTCTCTGTCTGTCTGTCTCTCTCTCTCTCTCTCTCTCTCTAAAGCAATATAAGTAAATAGCACATAAATTATTTATTAAGGTATCATCTCTAGTAGTAAAATAAACTATTAAAGATTGATTTGTTTTGTAAAGATACTCATAGCTTTCGTTTCATACTTCAACCATAATCACACGTAATTTATTATTAATATTAATAATTTGGATAATTTCATAGAAAGGAAGATAGTCTACATGCAGTATCGAATGGAAGAGACCTAATACTGGAAATAAAATAGAATAAAATAGGAATCAGCTCCATTGACAGTCTTCAATCCCACTATTATAAAGATTAGACCCAATGTGTCAGCTAAACGCTAAACCCAGCTGATCAGCTGTAGATTCTCATCCCGTCTGATTCGTCGGTGGATCTGATTACAGGTTAGCCCCAGTCTGAAGAGATTCGCCGTGTCACCGGTGAACGCAATCGACTTAGCAGCCACGTTGAGCTTTTACACGGAGTTCCTGACTCAGTCCAGCCTGTATCTCGAGATCCTGTCGATAGCTAGGGTCCTACGGCTCTTCAAGCTGACGAGACACTCTCCCGGGCTCAGAATCCTGATCCACACGTTCAAGGCGTCTGCCAAGGAGCTGGCGCTGCTGGTCTTCTTCCTCGTCCTGGGCATCGTTGTCTTCGCCAGTCTCATTTTCATCGCGGAACGTCTTCAGGTGAGTTCCCTATGTCTAACTGAGCTAATTAGACACCCCTTGAACCTGTAGCTCTCGCTTTAGTAAACTATGTTATGTCTAGGGAATCTCTAGTTCTTGCTTTAGTGTACTATGTTAAATATAGGGTTTCCTGATACGAGTAAGCTCCATGATGGAATGTGGGTGTTGTGTCTGTCAAAGTAGTTAGACAATCTCTTCGTGAAAATAAAGAGTGGGGGAAGTTCTGTTTTATTTGAAAGATGGAAGGTTGAAAACTTGATTATACAGAATTTTTCGAGCGTTTTACTAGCAACGAGTGCACACTTAGGTTTCTTGAAGAATTTTTTAATTTGATTGCCTTATAAATTTTTTTGAAATAATCTCATTGTCAGATGAAAAGTAAATTTATATATTTGTACTTTTTGAAGAAATTTCAGATGAAAAATGGGTTTATATATTTGTAATTAAATTATTTATATTTTTCATCAAATTAATTATTGGTCATTTGTCAAGCTATAATAATTAATTTATTAATGTACAGCGTTATATGTTTATTTTATTACTGCTTATTAAAATTATTATTGGCTTACTGTGATTATTATTATATTTTTTAATAGTTTATAGTACTTATTCCAAATAATTATTTTCGAATTATTATGTCAAATAATTTTTTTTATGTTCCGCCTCAAATGTATAATTTCTTTATTACTAGAAATATTCAGTTTTTAAATTTATTTCTCGTTTGTACGATACATGGTTCTTCGTTTAACATCAAGTACATACAAATTATTATTTTAATCGAAACGGTATTACTCGATTTTAAAAAAGAAAGAAAATATGCAATTCAAAATAAAATGAATTAGAAGCAAAGTGAAAGATGAATTGGCAATTGGAAATGAAAGATGGAATGTTTTAATTCCCAGTGACAGTTTTATATTATATTATAGCTCGTTTTGAATGTTGCCATTGATCAAAAAATGGAAAATAGAGTACTTTTGCCCTTTCGTTCATCGTCACGTGAGATCACTGATACTTAAATCGATCTGTGTATATCGTGCAGCTCACTTGACAAATTTTTACACACGAGAAGAATGGATATTTCGTTTTCAGTTTGTTCTGTCATATTGCAGTTATTTCTCTTTTATTCCAATCTATGACAGTTTTATCGACGTCGTTCGAATATATTTTGGATTTTCGAGTGCACGTTGAAATCTTGAAATTAGTTACTTATTTTCACAATATAAATATCTTAATAGAATTGACGTGTAGAATTAATCCATTTTCTTTCATCAATTTCTATTTTTGCAATTCTGAAGTCAAAATTGAAATCTTTTTGCTTATAAAAAAGAAAGAATTATAATAAAATTTAATTACAAGAATTACATAATAGAATTAGTATCATAATTAATAAAATTTGTAGTAATTGGAATCTTTTGCTTATAAAGAAAAGAATTACAATTTATTAGAGTGTCTTAGATCCACTGTTTCTTTTGTAGATTTTGTTATTCATATATTTTCTTATAAATTACGATGCTTTAGAAACTGCAGTGTATATAAATCCTTTTATGTACTTAAACAATTGTTTCATTGTTAATAAAATGGAATCACTTGCATAGTGGTATGAACAAAAATTTAAATGTTTTATTAAATTTATTTAGAGGCTTAGTATGGTTTCAATTAATTATTGTAGATTATTTATTACAATGTTTTCAATACTGAATTGTTGCCTATAATAATGTGAGTGTAATGTGAGTTATTGGATTGTCGCATTAATTCAGTGTGTAATTTATGTTACATTATACGTATAATTTTTATCAATGTTACAATATTTATTATTATTTATAATCATTATTGATATTAATATATAAATGTCATTACAAATATAAATATAATTATGGAATTATACATTTTACAAGATGGTGAGCCACTTTTACAATAAAAATACAGACGTATAATTCTAGTATAGTCCATGCTTTGTGCCCTTTTAGTTGATGCATAGCATATTTCTGTCACAGTAATCACTTTTGATTGACAGCAGACGGGGACTTACAGAGGATTTCCATTCTAGATTTCAGCTTTATTTAAACCTCTCCATATTCATACACACGACTTACAAATTACATACCCGTGTACCTATATTTTGTTACATTCTGTATTCCCCTTGTCCCATTTTTACCATTATATTTCACATAGTACACTATTCCATTAGAGTTTTCCAATATTTAATAAACCAATAGTTTTATAAAATTATTATAATCCGTTTAACAAATTTGTTATAATTATTATTACATTATTATTGCAATCGTTAAAGTGTACAGAATTTTATAAAATTATAACAATCATAATTCTTTCTCACCCAAAGGTAAACAAAATTCAACTTATTAGATATTTAATTTTCAGTTTCAGAAAAGAGTGTTACTCTAGCTGTAAGGAAATATTCATTTTCATTTGAGATATTGCCGTTTAAAATTCTGAACATCCATTCTTCTTATTAGCTAAATTGCATACCTTTCTTTTTAATGTAAAGTTTATTTTATTCATTTTATTCTAACGAATACGTAATGCACTGAAACTGAATCAACCTCTTAAATAACTCTTAAATTAATTAATAAAAATTCTCGAATATTTTCAACCGAATTAAGAAATAATCGTTATATAAATTTCACATACGCCATTTTTATTTCAATCGCAGATACCTCGTCGAGAAATTATTTCGCGTTTGAAAAATTTGTAATTTCAAATTGAAAAATTCACGATTCGTTGCTAAGAGTTTTACTGCTGCAGTCGATAAATCTTAAAACGATCCTTCATAAAACCCCTTCTGCTGGTAGGAGAACCCGCATAACGACTTCGACAGCATACCACGCGGCCTCTGGTGGGCTTTGGTGACCATGACGACAGTTGGCTACGGCGACATGACACCAAAAACCTTTCCCGGAATGTTCATCGGGGGACTGTGCGCTATCGCAGGCGTTTTAGCCATTGCTCTTCCGGTTCCTGTTATCGTCAGCAACTTCTCCATGTTTTATTCCCATACGCAGGTTTGTGACTCATTTCCAAACTGTATTTCCTCTTCTCTTCTCTTTGGACAGGCAGTGTATTACAAGTATGTCAGATATAGTTGCAGAATTTTTGTCACTTCGTTTTGAATTAAAATTTATTTCCATGATAAATTGTAATTAAAATATGCATTTAATAGGTCGTTACAAATAATGATAAGTTCCTAGCAAAAAATTTGTTGAATATTTTATAGTGTAATTATATGAACATTTTATTTGCCGCGTAGTAATTCGTTAGGGAAATTATAGTTCCATGGTTCGTTGAAAATTTCATTGAGAAGGTGAGAAAATTGCTGGAATATTAACAATTAATTATTAAAAGATGGTGAGGTTTCTATGAGTGCCTTTTCTAATAGTATAATATATAATATATAATATATAGCATAAAAGGTAATAAAATATTAAGCAATAAATAATGCAAGTGACAAATAGTAAATAACAAACAGTAGATAAAGAATGTAAAAAGTAGCTCTATGCAGTAACAAATAATAAATAATTATTGTAAGCAAATATCTCGTAATAAGTTAACTAACAATCCACTAAATATCTACTAAAAAAAGAACACACTTAACAACGAATAATATAATCAACAAATATACAATAATAAATAATCAAAATAATAATCATAGTAACAATAGTGCAATAAATAATAAATACAAATAACAAATAATATACGATATGCAATAATAAATAATTAAAATAATAAAATCATAGCAACAATATTGCAATAAATAATAAAAACAAATAACAAATAACATACAATATACAATAATAAATAATCTAAATAATAAAATCATAGCAACAATAGTGTAATAAATAATAAGTACAAATAACAAATAATATACAATACACAATTTACAATAATGAATAATCAAAATAATAAAATCATATCAACAATAGTGCAATAAATAATAAATAAAAATAGCAAATAATATACAATAATAAATAATTAAAATAATAAAATCATAGCAACAATAATGCAATAAATAATAAATACAAATAACAAATAATATACGATGTACAATAATAAATAATCAAAATAATAAAATCAAAGCAATAATAGTGCAAAAAATAATACCATAATACCTCAACAAATAACACAACGAAGTATCACAAACAGAATAATAGAACTACGCCAAAATCCAAATGAATTTCCCCTAACCCAATCCTCCCTACTCCCCACGAAACCCAAAACTACAAATCAAACTCGCTCAATTCCGCTAATTCCCCTAGCCGAAAAGCAAATCTCTCTAGCACCGCGTACAAATTCACTTGCCTCGATTCCACCGGTATTCTCCGCGAGCCGTGTCACCTAATAAACCCATAGCCGTGGACAATTTTTGCCAACACGACAGGAACTCGACGTCAGCGAAGATTCTTCTCTTTCTCATGGAATTAAGTCGCCCCGGGGGCACGAACAGAGTTCGCAGGAGCCTCGTGTTCACCGGGAACACGGAAGCGGAAGTCCATTCAGCCGGGGCAACATGTAAACTTCAGCACTTCTCACCAGCCAATTTGAAACTTTCCACCAATGGGCGGGGACCGCAAGAAGTTTCGCGCCCGTGTCAATTTTTTATTAGCGGCCGTCGAAGAAGCGACGCGGATACGCGGCCGAGTTAGCGGCCGTGGCGGCGCTAGTTGCCAGCCAATTAATCGGCACCGGCGTTAGCCCTCGATGCGCGCGCTCCACGGCCGCGCTCGTCCGCGAACTTCGCTATTAAACGTTTTATCTCTGTCGAGATTCGGGCCTGGAATTTTGTGCTCGCGAGTTTAAGGAAACTCGAAAGTTCCATCCGCGAGTGGAAGCATCTCGAAAGTTCTTCGAGGGAAATACCGTGAAAATGAAACGTTTAGAAGTTGCCCTTTTATTTCGCCTTGTGGATCTTTCTTCCCTGGAGGGGGTATCTTAGTGGCGGAGGGATAATAAATGGCAGGAAGGGTGGAATGTAATGATAGACTGAAATTAAGTTTTGGGTAGAGGGCGGGATGATCGCAGGGATAGGTGTGGATGCTAATGAGGAGATAAATGGAGGGATGGGTTTGAGGATCTTCGATGACACGAATTATGCGTGTTATATATTTCTTCAACCATAAATCGTAGTTTCTGTATTAGGAAAATATTTGATCGCGATAAATTTGTATATGAAATATATTTAATTTTTACTTTGGAAAATAAATTGTTGCAGGCTCGTAGCAAGTTACCGAAACAAAGGCGACGAGTGCTTCCAGCGGAAATACCAAGACGACCGAGGTGTCTGGTTAATCAGGATGCCAACTATATCCAATCTCAACTGACACCTGACTCTCTATCGGGATCATTGAGAACGAGACCAGCCACCATAGGTTTGGAGAATGTTCTAAATTTACAGGTATAATGTAATTAAAAACGGAATCCTTTAATTAATCATTTTAACGATATTAATTATTGTCATTCTACAAATAATATTCTCTTGGTCCTTTCCTCAATGTGAAAATAACGATTCAAAGTTGTTAATTACGAAATATAATTGAAATTGGTGACCAGAAAAATGATTGGATTAAATGCAGGGTAAATTGAAAATAAGATGAATTATGTAAAATTTTTTGTTTCGAAATGCTGATAAAGAAACGATTTTAGTAATGTATTATTGTGCACGATGAGAAATTTTGTTTATCTCAAGCACAGTCGGTTACAAAGGTATTTTTACGTGTAATTTCAATTTTATATTCTGAATTTCATATAAAGATATAATGGATACAAAAAATGAATCGTGTTATGAAGTATAATTTGCGAAGTATAATTAATATAAGATACATAAAGTATACTGTGGAGAAAAATATTTAATATAGAATATACAACGATACGGACAATATAGAATTAATGTTTGAGAATAATATTAATTAATAATATAACATTTGTATTGAGCAGAATATTATTCATAATACAAAATTAATATATCACTGAGTCTAAAATTAGTTAATATTAACTGTGATATTACACACTGGAATATTAATTTCAATAAATAACTAAAATTATTATAAAATTAAGTACAATCTATACTCTGTATAAAATACGTCGCTCATGGTACCCATAAGAAAAATAAAAATATGAAGAAATCCAAATCCAAACCTATATTATTCAACTCTCTCCAAAGGAATATTTTTGTATATAGAATATACAGTGACAATATAGAATTAATCTTGTGAATAATATTAATTAATAATATATCATTTGTATTGAAGAGAATATTATTTATAATACACAATTAATATATTATTGAGTCGAAAATGAATTATCACACATAATAAATATTAAATGTAATATTACACAATAGAATATTAATTTCAATAAGTAGCTAAAATTATTACAATATTAAGTACAACCTACATTTTATATAAAATACATCGCTCATGGTACCCCATAAGAAAAATAAAAATATTTTCAACTTTCTCCAAAGCAATACTTTTGTAACCGACTGTACTCACGGCGCATAATTCAATCTTCCAAAGGAAAAGAGTAATCCATTTAAACGTAACACCATATCGCAACAATACCTTCTTCAGAGGTTACTCAACGCGGTACATTTCAAAGCGCTTCACTACAGCTTTCCCAATTATCCAACGAAACCGAATTACCCTATCTTCGATACTCCCATGAACCACCGTCATCGAATATCGGAGATACTCCTCATTCGCGTTCGCCTAATTTGCATATCGACAAAGGCGCTCGTGGGCGCAGAGGTCGCGCAATTAATAAATAAAGATTCGGCAAGATTTTAACGCATTAGACAGTCCCGCGAGGAAAATGCGGTTTCCTTCCGCAATTTATGAGAAAGCATGGATGCTGGTCCTCTCCAAGAAACGTCAGAGCGCGTTTTCACAGGCAACGGGAAATGTAAAATGCAGGAGTAGCGTGTAAAGACCGCCTCTCTTGTATAGCAAGCGTGTGTTGCAACGTTCCGTGCCGACGTCGACCGAAATATCTGACTACAGATTTTAATAAAAGATTGCTTTTATCTTCTATCCACGATTTTCGATTGCACGAGATTAGGTGCAGGCGTGGGACGTGTCGTGTTTGGTTTAAAACGGCGAGTGGAACTGATCAGTGATATTTTGCAAGGGAGAGGAAAATCGGGGATGTTCTCTGTGTGTATGCGAATGGGGAGCAGGAGTGGAGTATACTATTGAAATATTCAGGATTGATCACAGGAATGTATTGGATTTTATGGTAACTTGGCACGAAGTAATTCCTTTTTGGTAACTATTTGGTTGTTTATAAAATGAAATGTATTTGCTGATATGGTGTAGATGTAATATATTTTAATAATACTCGAAACGAATTATTTATTGGAAATACGAAATATGGTAGTAAAATATTTTTATTTAATTGGAAATTCAATTTTCATTTTGTGATAACTTGGGGTAAGATTATGGGGATTTTCTTGGTAATTTTATGATTGTTTGTAAAATGAAATAATATTTGTTAATGTGATGTAGATGTAATATATGTTAATAATACTTGAAGTAAATTATTTATTGGAAATATGAAATATGGTAGTAAAATATTTTAATTTCATTGGAATTTTAATTTCGATTTTGTAATAATTCAGGGTAAGATTATGGGGATTTTCTTGGTAATTCTTTGGTTATTTATAAAATGAAAAATATATTTGTTAATATGATGTAAATGTAATATATGTTAATAATATTTAAAGTAAATTATTTATTGAAAATCTGAAATATGATAGTAAAATGTTTGTATTTAATTAATAATTCAATTTCCATTTTGTGATAACTTAGGGTAATGTTAGGGGGATCTTTTTAGTAACTTTTTGGTTGTTTATAGAATGAAATTGTATATATTATATAAGTTATAATAATTTTGATTTTGTGATACCTTGAAATTGAGTAATAGGGACTTTCTTTTTTAATTGCTTTTATTTATTTATTTATGAAATGTATTTATAAATATAGTATAAATATAACGTTTTAATTCTCGAGTAGGAATATGAAATATATTATTGCAGTAAAATATTCAGGGTTCATCAGATGTTAAATTTCTAATAGCTTGATATGAGATTACGGGGACTTATTTTTAACAACTTTTTATTTGTTTTTGAAGTAAAATATATTTGTCACTGTAGCATAAATATAGTATACTTTAATATTCGACGTGAATCGAATACTCGATTAATCATTCTCAAGTGATCATATATAGTTCGAGACAAAAGAAATTCACATAAGAAGATCTTCGATCATCCAGACATAAATCATCATAACGAGGATAATGATTTCGTGGATCGTGAATGATCACAATGGCACATTTAAAGTTCATCACATTCTTATATACTTCTCTATCGATTAATTTATTTCAATTTCGTATTAATATTAATTTTTCTATTAATATCTAATTTATTAATTTCTCCATTACTTCTATATGAAGTATAATGACTCACGAATTCATAAATACCATAAATTCCTGTCATATTATCTCCTATTATTTAAGAGGAGAATCAAATGATTGGTCACGGTATTACTAATTTAACATTACTCACTGTTACTTACAATTACTTACAATTATAGTAATCCACTTTTTGTGTCGTCACGTTGCATGACTTGCCCCACAAATGTCACGAGTCACACAAGAATACGAAGGGTTAAATATACTCAACAAAATATCATTCGCTGCGAGACTATTAATCTTACTACGCTGGAATTTCCATCTTGCCTCTATCGAACTAAATCCTATTTTAATCCTTCGCTATTCCCTACAAACGTGCACTACACAAGTGCAATTGGACGTCTCTGAATCACGTGTTCACATCTCTTTTCGTATTTTCTTTTTATACAGCCTAATATCGTGATAAATCTACCACGGGAGTCCACCGTCACGGGAACTATAAATTCTGACAGAGTGGATTCTCCTCGCCTTACCAGCAACAATCCTGTGAGAAATGGCAAAGCGGTAGATGGGGCCACGGAAGACACGTTCCAAGGGGAGGAGAGCAAGAAAGGAAGTTCATTTACAGGGACCCGTAAAGATATACCTCACACTTATATCATCGTGTCAGAAGGTTCAGATATAATGTAGAATAAATAGTTGGAAATAAAGTCTTTAATATCGATACAAATGGTTTTGCCAATGCAACGTGGACAGCCTTTGAACGGAGGCTACCTGTCTCTGCAGAGCATCGAGCTGCCACTGAATGAGGCTGCTTCCAGAGGAAGGATTAAATACCTTATGCAGCAGAGAATGGAGAAACGCCTGTTCCAGGTGTCAAGGTCTAAAGAGACTTCCATAGTCGCGAAAAAGCAGCGTGTGTCACGTGAGCTAGCTAGAGCTGGGACCTAGCGTCTGAAACCTTGACAGACGCGTCATGAACTCTTGACACGACATACGAGCAACACTCGGGACACACGAGCACGAGGATCTATTCCTCTTGGATCTGGTCTCTTGCTTGATCAACGGCATTACGTCGTTAATCCCTCAGCTACCAATGGAGAGATGCTGGTTTTAGGAAGACTAAACGTCAGACATGTCTACTCACTCGCTAGACACCTTCCAATTTGCTTCTTGAAATTGTGGATGAAGATGTATAGGATATATTATGATTGGCGAATATAGGGAAGAAAAGATGTTGTTTAATTCCAATATATTTTTATTACGAGCTAAAGAAACTTAGGAGTAAAGTACAAACTAAAAGATTAGACTAATAACTGAACTATGATCACGCAACTCACACTCACACGTCAACTCTTCAAACTCCGTAAAGCACTGTCCCCGACTCTCAAGACAGGACTTGTCTTTCAAACCTCGTATAGAACTGTAGGAAATGGATATCAGGTTAAGAGTGGATACCACTCCAAATATTCTGTCTCCAAGGGAGAGGTTTATTAAGTGCAATAGTTGACTCGATGTACTCGAGCGGAGCACTTGTTACGAACTGTGTTGTCTCTTGTGGCTCCGTATGATAGGCTGGTGTTCTATGGTGCTGGCCAGTTGGTATCCCCGTGGTCGTCGTTGCTGTTGATAGGATAGCAGGTAGAAGGACGACAGGAAAAGGAAGGGATGCGTTTCGTCCCGGGCCTGCTAGTGGACTCATCGGTAAGGCTTTCTTCTAGCAGGCCCTGCCTTGGACCAGGAATACTTAGGTGGCATAGGAACTTCTATTTAAGGAAGGTCGAGGCTTCACCGAGGACTTGCGAGAAAGTCCTCGAACCTCCTTCAAGTAGGAATCCATCTATCGGCGAGGGTGAGAACTTGGTCGCTACAGAACTGCCCTAGGACAGCCCTTGCACTCTCATTAAACCTTGCACTCTGTCTTCTTTCATACTCGAGTTTTCTTTCCCAATCACGCATTTCTCATAGCCACGCTCTCGGTGGGTCACGTACCCTAAACACCCAGGAGCCTTTCGCTCTTCACTTGCATTCCATACAATCATAAATATCCCGTTCATCCGATCCTTGCACGCGGTCACTCGTCCTTCCACGTGTACTTCAGACATCACTCTAAACATTCGGCCTGTGCCCTAAGTTGCTCTTTATTGCCCGTCATCAGCTAGGTAGGCCCAAGTGTTCCTTTGCTTTCACTCTCAAACCTACTATTCCTACGAAGATACAGACTTACAGGTTTGGAAGCTTATCAGTCTTGAATGCAATCTCTTCGTTTATCCACTGTCGGATTAATTCTTCAGCTAGCAGGATCAATACTATCCTACTGATCCTAAACAGTCTACTAAGCACAGTGCTGAGTATAAATTCGTTAGTCTAATTTTTTAACAACGAAATAGTAAAATTGATGGACAGTGGAAGATCTAAATAAGAGAATAAATAATTATGGATCAAGGTTTTGAAAATTCAAAGAGCTTGGAAATTCATCAGGAACAGATGTACTTGGCTAACTTCCTCCATTATGAGATTCAATGGTCCTGTCAGGAGACCTCGTCAGAATTAGAACCATTTAGCTGAAGTAACGGATCTCAGAGTCTAAAGACGACACAGCTGCCCACATCCCTGTATAACCGACCTATTTACCGAATGGGCGAGTGATCAATCGCGTTCGAATAAAAATGAAAGTAGGTGAGAAAAGGCGAGCACAATGGCCAGCAGTGGACGCCGGCGCGAAATTATTCGCGTTACATCGTTCAATTCGACGACTGGCACCGTGTCATTGCTTGTGTTTCGCACGACAATACTGTAAATCTTAGCCCATTACCCCTGGAATTATCTTTCCTTATGGGATAAAAGTTCCCTTTTTCCACGACACAAAGGTACTCAATTGAATAACGTACTCTGCACGGATTGCAATGGTGCACGTGCAGAAATTGATTCCCTGGATTCAATTGTTTCCTCCATTCCAGAACATTTTAAAATTCATGCAAAATATTTTAGTTTGTTTTTGTATTCATTTTTATATTTTTGTTGCGAAATTGATAATTATAGCAATGTTTGTTAGGGTGAAGTTTGTGTAGCAAATTCTATCTTTTTTTAAATTTTTATGTGGGCTTTGGATTGCATATGAAGAAAAAGGAATATACGTAGGATATGTGGTATAATTGGGTATCAAATGATTGTACATGCAAAAATGAATCGCAAAGAAGGAATACAGTTTCTTCGTTTGACGTTTCCTTTTGAAGAAAATCGAGTTTGAAGTTCGGAGAGTGCACGCGCACCAGCTGACGCGATCAGCGTTCGATCGCGAGTGCACGTGTCAGCTGCGTGCACGTGTCAGTCGAGTGCATGTGCACCCAAAAGAAATTCAAAACCGATTTTCTCGAAAACGAGACTTCGAATGAAAATATTTTATTTCATACGTTTGATTTATTTTTGATCGTAGAGTAACTTTCTGTCAGGTTATTGATATTCGGATTACTCGGTACGGGATTATTTATGTGTACGAGTGTTCAAAAAATTTAAAAGATTTAAATGTTTTCAGAAATAGCTAGTAATTCTTATATAAAGATTATTTCTGAAATACGAAATCGAAAATTGCCACTAATCATTAGTTCTGTATTATAATACCTAACGAGAGAATTATAATTTCTGAGTAATTTATTATTTACAATATTGAGTTTTTTAAACTATTATATTACTATTATAATAAATTTATTAGTTTGTACCATTTTTTAAATAATAACTACTGCATAAATTTCCATAATATATTTATATATATTTTCTATATATTAAAATATCATATGAATGTATATTTATCTAAAAAAATTTAATATATCAAAGAGCTATATGAAAACCTGTGTTCTATTAGGAAAAGGAAAAGAATACAAGATCAGAATATTTCATAAAATAAGGCGAAATTTTAATGAACTAATCAAACATAAAATAAATTAACTTTTATATTTAATATAAGAAAAAATATATATTTAATATTATAGAAAAGAATTAATTAAAAGTTTCGAATATATTGTGCTTTCGCCGCTATAATGATATCTAGAATATAGGTTTCCCGTGCAATTGAATAAATATATTTAAATTCATTTTATATATGGTAAGACTTCTTGTAGGATGTTAATGTAGATATTCATACATAATATTTATTCAATTGCACATTACACCAGATATTTCACTGTATCTACCATATCTACATAACTACAACGGTTAAAAAATTCATGAAGCAAGACCTCTAGATAAATACAGAGCCTATCTCCTTTCTGAGGAAAATGCACTTCTACCATTTTCCACCGATCCTCTTGGTTATTAACTTTAAGAAACTAGATTAAATTAGAAAAATCTGCTATGGTCAACAATTACTATTAATCTTATAACAAAAATTTTGGTTACATAGTAATTATAATACAATCACGTAATTACATAATCATACCATTCCAATAATTATAATACAATTATGTATATAAATTAATTACAATAACTATAATTACATAATTAATTTGTTATAACTTAATAATAGAATTAGAATTATTACAATTAATATACACACGTAATTACACTGTCAACGTACATAATAGTAATTAAAAATTCGTTATTATATCATTAAATTATGATATATAAATTAATAATACAATCAGGTAATTACATAGTCATAAAATTCCAATAATTATAATACAATTATATATATAAATTAATTACAATAATTATAATTACATAATTACTTTATTATAACTGAATAATAGAATTAGAATTATTACAATTAACATACACACGTAATTACATTATCAACGTACATAATCGTAATTAAACATTTGTTATTATATCATTATATTATAATACATAATTTAATAATACAATTATTATTATGACTTAATAAAAGAATTAGAATTATTACAATCAATATACACATGTAATTACATTATTGTCGTACATAATCGTAATTAAAAATTTGTTATCATATCATTAACTTGTAATACATAATTTTCTTAAGTTATAAACATGGTATACAATTATCACGCTGATAAATAAATGAACATGTGTCTTTAAACTGATCTTCGTCAAATATGAACTTTCCATATTAATCACACGAAACCGAAACTAATAATTCCTCTTAAGCTCTCCACCTTCAGACAGGTTGCCATTTAATCACCCGGTTTCAGTTGTAATTAAACCACCCCTTCGGATATACACATTTAATTCTATGCTAAACCGGTGGTGAATTAGAAATTCACGCGTGGGAAGAAAATTTTTCTGCAATTTCTTGGTCTCATCGGTTTCAAGTGTTACGCGAGAAGGGGTTGGCCTGGTATAATTTTGTTGATGTGGTAAGTTAATTCTTGTTCGGTGGATGATATACCTGCTTACGTATATTTAGTGCCGCAGTCTGCGCGCTGCTTTATTTATACGTGATAAGACACGGCTGCAGAGTTTTTGCAAATACGTCACTGTATCTTCGCATTGAATATTTAAGCAGCAAAGTCAGCGAATGCTGAGAGGATATGACGGCATTAAAAAAAGGGTAATTCGATTATGCTAGCGGAGCAAAAGAGTGAGCAGGAAGTAAGGTAGAAATATCATTTGAATATTTAAGGTACACCCTTTTCACATTGCTACGTTTCTTTCACGTTCACTTTTTTTGGTATTTTGGATAATATTTTGGTATTATGAAAAAATCGCGCTGTCAACAG